CATCTCAGCTTTAGTTGGTGGCTTTTTTGAGTTGGAGGTGTCCACGTTTGTTCGCTTCCTTTTTCGATTGTTCTTCCCATCCATGTAATCCCGGTATGCAAGTCCTGCGCAATAATTATCAATAACGGTTTTCTGTAAATGTTCCATCTGGCCTTCAATCATCTCGCCCCCAATAACCCGTGTGATTTCCTCCAGGGGTAGCCCCTTTTTCACAGCCAGAGAAAATGCCCTAGCTTGCTGGATTTCGAACATCTGAACCGCTTGTATCTCTGCTGTCTCCGGGTCAAATGTTTTATTGAAAAGCCGGCTAAATTCGGAAACAAGTTGGTTTGCTAGTTCTTCAAGCACACTATCCAAGAGATTTTTTGTTGATCCAAGCCTGTAAGTTGGACGTGTTGAGGCCCTGACGTAAGGGGTGTTGAGGGGATCATCTGGTAAGTCTTCACCAGTCTCCATGTAGTGATCAAAGTTACTGTTTTTAATTTTTCGTATGTTCTCTATCAGACTAGTCGTCTTCTTAGGATTGCAGTTTGAACATAGGCAATTGGGAAAATGAACATTGATTTCTCAAGCGCGCTCCAGAGTAACATTTGGATCATTGTTTCATAGTGGTACATATCCAACCCTGCATCACATTGAATGGTCAGTTTATCCCCATTCAACACTCAAAACAATCTCTGCATCATCCAGCTTACTTGTTATCAATGGCAAAGCATATTCACAAGCAGACCGGTGTGATTGCAAGAGCATCCATCCACTCATCGTCCGTTTGCTCACCAGGATTGGCAAATTCATCAACAGTATTCTTTCCAGATCTTTGATTTGCCTCAACGAACAAGATGGCTAGTCCAGGCGATCCCCCTCTCCCGCAGCGACCAATCATCTGGCAAATAGATGCGGGATCACCTTGTCCAACGTGAACCACTGATCGGACTCGCTTCCAGTTTTGCCCAAGGCCCAGGGCCATGGTGCATGCTATTACCGGAAATTCGCCTGCAGCAAACTTGTTCGTTGTCTCCTCCTTGCTCATATCCCCCGTACACGCGTGGAACCGTCTAGCAAACGTACTGTGAGCATCATTGTGACCCCCTGGAATTCGCCTTGCCTCGTGGATAACCTTTGAAACTTGCATGGTGAGGTTGCGACTGGTTGAGTAGATTAAAGTTGGTATTATTTCATTATCTTGAATACAAGTACGAGGGCCGTATAGTGTAAGAAGATCATCACACGACTTGAGAGAGCATTTCATTGGCACCCTAACGATCCGAATCTCTGGTCGGCTGAGTTCAGCATTTCGATAAGTTATGGACTCTTTGGAGATTTTTAAGTTCTTGAGGATGGCTTTGATGGCTTGTGGTCAACAGGTTGCTGATAGAAGGAGTAGTGGTGCATTAATCCCTAAGAGTCAGGCCGCAATGTCTCCATATGATGGTCGATAAACCCCTCGATCTTGATGCCGTCCATGGGAGAAGAGTTTCTTTGATTTTCCACTTGCAACCAAGCCCCACACATAAATCATGTGTGCTTCATCAACAACAACAAGCGAAACACGGTTCTGGAAGGTCTCATTGAAGAATATCCTGGTGAAGATGGCATTGTTCAACAGCACCTCGGGACTCTTAAATTTTGTAGATGGTCAGCACAATTCTCAAAGGTAAGCACTAATCACTTCATCAACTCACCAAGTATATGAAGGAGTAATCTCCCTTCAATATCTTTCCTTCGACTTCCTTGTTCAAATTCATCTTTGTTAAATTGATTGCGGATATTTTTGCGTTCTTTTTCTCTTGCACCTAACCACATGACACAATCTAGTTAATTTTTTGGATCACAAATCAAACAAGCAGCATAAGAGACAACATGCCTGATTGTCACCAAGGGCATCCAGAGGGTTCAAGACCAAGACGATTGGCTTTTTGTATCGAGGAAACAGATCCCAATACATCTCAGCAATTCGACTCTTGCCAACACCTGTCCCCGCAAGGACAAAAGTGTCTCGACGATGAATCAAATCGATGACCAAGTCTATTTGGACTTCTTTTGGCTCTTGACCGCCATAATTTGTCGCCGATCTTTTCTTTAGCATTTGAATCGTTTTTTCTCGTTCCATCTCAGTGATATTCTTATTCAAGGTCAGTTGGCCAACTTTGTTCTTAAGCGATCGAGCGGATCTTTCAGTTTCTTCCGGCTGAATCACATCTGGTACCTCTTCGAAAGGTAATGGATCTTTGGTAATAGCATTCATCATTGATGTTTGCGGCAACCCGAGTATATCTTCCTCTGGCCAATTCATCTCTCCAATCGGTAAGGGCTCTTCAACAGCCACATTCGTCAAAATCGGCTCTTCAGCAGCCACATTCGTTGACATTGGGACGTTTTAAGTATTTGAAATGATATCGTTGCCTGTTTGATTTTGATATGTTTCAATCAGTTCGGTCTCTTTGATTTTCATACGTTTCAATCAATTTGGATTTGATTCATTCTCAATCTCACTCACAAACTTGTCGCTCTACTGATGCGTTTCAATCAGTAGTTTTTGTCTCTTTGATTTTGATAAGCTTCGATCGATTTGATTCATTCAATCTCACTCACTACATACAGACTTTTCGGTCTACTCCGCTTCATAATGATCGGTAGGCTTCCCTCTAATTAATTACCGATCTCTTTAACTGTCCTTAGTCATCCACATGATGTCATGCCCTGAGTTATATTACAGTCCGTAATGATATGCAAAAAATTGCTTTGTTTTTTTTTCTTATCTATTTAGAAAAATAGTGGTGTGGAAACACAACAAAGTAAAAAATACTCAAAAATCAGAAAGATGGAAGACAATCAGAAAAAACTTATGGTACAATTTTAAGACCAATGGCATAGAATTTATGAGAGAAAGTGTTAAAATTGGGCTCTATATCACACCTGCCTCACGCGAGCTTTGAGTGATGGTATGTAAGCCTCTCTGACGAGACTGGGCTGCCGCCCAGACCTTCCCGCACACGACTCTCGTCACGAGAGGATTTGTTAAGCTCGGTGTCTCTGGGACCTGGTCCATAGACTGAGAAAGGTCTCCAGTTGTGGACATCATATTTTACTTATACATCTGTAACAGTCCTCCCGCACCTGCCAAAAAAAAGCATGAACTTTTTGAGCTGGATGGGCACCTGTAATAATATAATCATGTCTGTTGTTACAGACATGTACTTATATGAGGACCCCGGCGAGCCCTGACCAAGCCAACTTATGCAAATCCAGGGAAAAACAGGTTTTGGATACGTGCGGAAATCGGTTTTTTTCTGAAAAATTCCATTTTGCTACGGACTACATCAATAACATTCTTTGCATAAATGCAAAAATCTGGTGGAAAAAAGCATCCCATTGGGGAATCAAACCCACAACCCCTCAAATCAGGGGTTTTTCTCACCTGAAAGAGCAAAAAGCTCAGTTTTTAGTTCAAAAATACCCAAAAGGATACAAAGTGCATAATTATGCTTGGTGAGAAAAAAAACCAATCCGCTACATATCCGGTCAATTACATAAGTATCATTTTCCAAAAAAAAAACCATTTTGCTACATGCCACATAAGTCGGCTTGGTCAGGGCTCGCCGGGGTCCTCTTATATGCACCAAAAGATGCTAGATTGGAAACAGCAGTTTTAGGACTCCAATTTGGTAGGAGGCTGTCAAAGAATATCTTGATTGGTGATCTCTTACACAATTTCATGTTTCTGACCAGAAGAAGGTCAAAGGTAGTTATTGTAACCTTGACATCAACCAGATTGATTTCTTTTGGGTCTCTGTCACTGTCATCTGGTCTTCCTGTACGGTTGGTTACCTCACTGACTGCCAACTGGAAAGGAGATAACTCCTAAGATTGAAAGGGAAACCACTCCCACAAAATTACAAAAAAAAAAAATGAAAAAAAATAATTATAAGATATAAAAGAAAGAAAAATGGATATGGCTGCAGACTGCAAAAGTTAGCCATCCGTTTGGAGGCACGACTCTCAACAGACAGATGTCCATCAATGGTCTTTGGGAGTTGTTTAAGTTCAACCACCTCCCAATGATAAAAGATCATTTGAAAATCCTGCAGTTTTTTTTTTTTTTTTTTCAGGGGGGACCATGTTGATGATGACCATAACCAAAACTTGTGCCCGCGGTTGGCTGGTCACATCTGGCTGTCCGATAATTGGGCTAAGGTTGATCAGTCTTATTTGGATTATCTGGATTTGCATGTTTTTAGGACCCTGACTCTAGGCTTCTGAGAGATTGGCTAGGCCATTCCTGTCTCCAATTGTTCTTCTCTCTTCCAACCCCCTCCCTTTTTTTTCTGAAATCTATAGACAGCCTTGGAATAATTTGCTTGAATTTTAAAAAAAATAATAGACTTGAGGAGCCAGGGTATTTGGACCATTAATTCATAAGCAAGAAATCGTTTCTCTGAAGAAGAAAGAAGATCAGCTGGATTTTTTTTAAATAAAGTCTAATTGATTCTCCATTCACTACTTGAAAGTCTTTGGCTGTTCCAACCCATGTAGAAATTTCAGATAGGGGAAACATAAGACAAGTGTATCTAACCAACTCAGATTGAATCTCATCACAAATTCTTATTGACACTGTGCATTTGGTTATTAGATTTTGAGTGGATGCATTTGTCAAAGGAAGTGGTTTAGGTGAATGAAAGGAACAATCAATCAAGGTTACATTGTGCTATTCTATTATGGAGTAACAACAAGGAATGAAAGATAGTTGAAAATAGCGTCTGATTAAATTAATTGGAGAGAAACGATTTGGAGCCGAGTGATATTAGAGTTAATAGCATGCATGTGGTCATGATGAGAAACTTGGTGGATAGGAATTGCAAATGGCGGATGGCGGTATTAACGAGTAACTAAACTCTTTTCTTTTGAAATGGAAGTGGGTTGCAAAGAATGAGGTAAAACGATTGAAGTGTCCGTGGATAGTTCGTCCCAGAACCCAGTAGGAGAAGGAATTTTCGGTTCGCCTTCCCGTGTTAAACTTCGTAGATTGATTCCTCCTTTCTTTCGGTTGTCGATGAGCATAGGGAATGGCTATCCATGGCTGGAAGAATTAACACAAAGAGGAAAAAAAAACATGAGCAGACCGTTCAGGTTTGATGATCAAGAATCAGGGGAACAGTTATAACTAACCTGGGTGATTCGATTCTGAAGCAATTTTCGCTTCGGAAGTTTCGAAAGATTTCGTTAAATTTTCTTTCCTTCGTAATTGACGACGATAGAGGAAGTATCCCAAAAGAATCAAGATACAGATGATTGCGACGATGATGATGTCGATTAAGATGACGACGGTCTTCGCGGTTATCAGAGGAGCCGGTGATTTGTCGGGCGAGGTTTGGTAAAAGGCTTGCGGCCTTACAAAAGTAAGTTTAAGGTTCTCAAGGTTCACGATTTGGTTGATGATGATGGGCGACATGATTATTAGATTTGGATGAGTTTTGTTGTTTTTTGCGAATGGAAGTCTTGAAGGAAATGAATGATTATTAAAGGTAATTTGATGAGGGGGGGCGAGAAGGATGGTGGGAAGAAGCACTTTGCGCAGAAAGCCAACCTGTTTATGAAGTAAAGATCAAAGACACCACGACGCGGCTCGTCCGCCCAGTCGGCTTGAGAATTACCAGCCGTCTGGAGGAGATGGCTGGATTCCAAAAGAGCTTTTGACTGATGTGGATAGCATATTCTGGCTGGAATCAACCAATAAAATGGCGGGTGGTTCGGTCAAAAACTGAGCGGAATGGGATCGATTTCGATCGGAACTGTCATGGACATGCTGGGGCCAAACCCGTCCATTCATGTTTGACTGCACCACCGCTCGGCAATCAACTGGCTCAAAGTCGGCCTGTTCCCGACCCCACTTTTTTATGCCGATGCGGGGGCGGCCCTCGTGGGGAGTTCATGATCATATAGCCTTCAGGAGGGCTCGTGCGGCCGGACGGCGTCCACACTTCAACTTCAAGTACCCTCCAGGGAATTCATCAAATTGGTTATGATATGGACTGGCGCTCAAAGTGTCATTACTATTCGGAAGTAATTTTTCTGTTGTTAACATTGGAAGTTTGGACTCTGCGACGACCTGTCAAAAACGGCCCGCACTGGACTATGGACAGCTTGTAGTAACTGCTCTACAGCAACAGGATGTCGGCCCAATGGTAGCAACTTCAAGCTGCTGCAAGTCGTAGATGCATCCAGGTTGATTGTCTTTCTCTAATAGAGGGGGTTTTGATTTTTTTTTCTTGGTTTCATTGATGAAGAAATCTTTTGGCGCCAGTGTCAAGTGTGATCAGACTAGCCGCAGACCGATGCATCATTCGAATCTTACAAAGATGCATAGCCCAAGCAAAAGGAAAAAGGTTTGCGCAAAAATTTGCATGGCGGCACACCTATTTATGTTATGAGGGGACTGTGGATTGATCATAGCCAAGTTGGACCCGACACAAACATTATAAATATGTAGATCAACGGAAATAAAGGTGGGTTTGCCATAGATCTAATTATTACTGAGAATGATTAGCTTGCCAGTGATTGTATTCCTTATTTCCTGGTTATGACATGTGTTCCTATTTCCAATAATTTATCAAGCCAATCATAATGCACTGCAGTATCTGTAGGGCGTGAACATGAAATAATCAACTTTGAAAAGATGATGGTAATGTAGGACTTCCCTTTGGTTTTATGGCCCCCTGCAAAAAGTCCTTTATTGGAGCATCTCTAACGGTCTGGGGGGGCAATCAGCTTGTGTTCCCCGGCCCGAAATCACATTTCACACAAGTCAAAGGTCAGCTCCAGTTGTGGACTGGCACTGCTTGGCAAGAGCCCTCCAGCACCAACAACCATGCAAAATAGTCTTGATTGGATGGAGGACAAACAATCTTTTGTCACACTCTTTTTCTCTCTAGTGTTTTCTTCTTGCTTGTTTTTTCACTTCTCACTTGATGCTTCTCTTCTCAATAACAGGTTTCACAATATATAGTGTCTTTTGCTATTCAATCCCGTGATTTTTTTTCTTGCTTGCGCATTGCTGATGTTAATTTTCTCCGCAAAAATATAAAGTTCTGTGCTAAATTTTAAGCCTGAAGCAGTGCAGTGGTTTCTTGTGTGAGAAGAAATTGCTTCTTGCAAGAAGCTATCATGAACCCCCCTAATTGCTTTTTGTTTCCTTGCATGGTTATGCCTTAGAGATCGTTTGTTCGTACTTGGGTACCTGTTGGTACCTAGGTACCTGTTGAATTTTTTCAGAAAATAGGTACCAAGTACCGCACCAGGCACCTCCTGGCAGGTACCGGCGGTACTTTTGGCGGGTACTGCGGGTACCCCCCCCCTCTTTTTCTCACCTAGATTCACTCCCACAGTCCCAATTCACTTTTTGTATCTTTTTCACATTTATTATTTTCTCTCCCAGAGTCCCAATTCTTTTTTTTCATTTTTTAGTCACTTGTTTTCATTTTTTCATATTTATTTATTATTTTTGGTGGTCACTCCCAGAGTTGCAAGTCACTTTTTCATTTTGTTGAAAATTATTGATTTCACTTGACACTGCCAGACAAGTCACTTTTTTTTTCTTTTTTTTCATATTTATCTATCTACAACTAATAACTAATTGGAAGAATAAAATCCAGAAGAAAAAAAAATAAAACAGAAAAGAAACATCAGCAAAGTGCTGAAAAAAATGCAGCAAGAGTTACCTATAAAAGTTCCAAAAAATTATTAAAAAAAAGCAAAAAAAAAACATCAGCAAGTTGCTCATAAAAGTCCAAAAGGAAAGTTAAAAAACAGAAAAATAGAATAAGAGAAACATCAGCAAGAAGCTGAAAAAAACCATGACCGAGTGTGTATCCTTGGTCATGGAGGAGTCAAATCCTCCATGACCGAGGTGCTTGGTCATGGGAGGAGTCAAAGCCTCCATGACCGAGGGTGTATCCTCGGTCATGGAGGAGTCAAATCCTCCCATGACTGAGGGGTGTATCCCTTGGTCATGAAGGTTTTTCACTCCCTCCATTGACCGAGGGTGTAATCCTCGG